TTCTAAGGTAACGGGTTATCGGATGGTGGGACTTTATGCTCTTTAAAGTTTTTTTTTTTCTTCCAACTTAAGACAGCATGAGCAGACGGATTCGCGCAAATCCTATCGCACATACTCGTTCCTCATTCCCCTTTCCCCTCTCTCCTCCACTAAGCCTCTCCAATGGCTCTCTCAGGTGCCATGATCTGTGGCTAAAGGTCAAAATTTGCATGCTTCTCTTTGAAAATCTCCATCTCCCCAATCCTTGGTCGCAGAAGCGCCAAATTTACACCATTCTCCTTGAGACATACAGCGCTAAATGGGAAAAATAAATGCACGTATGCGACTGTCGTTCCCGAGAAGCCATGACGCCATGACTGAGAATTATTCCGTTTTCGGATTCTGTTTTTTTTTTTCGCTCTCATTCCTCGTAGAAATTTACACCGGCAAAAGCATGCTCCAGTTTTTGGAGGTTAATATGGTCCACCTTTTTGCGGAGTTGTGCATGGTTTCCTCCTACTCCAAGCAGCATGTTTATGCTAATTTTACATAAAATGAATGCAATTTTTTTCTATTTTATGTCTTTTTTACGCAAAGCATCATCAAGATAATGTCAACATGTTTGCAGAAATATCATATCTGTAATACGAAAACGATGAAATAAAATTAACGTAAATTTTATGCAAATTTGGCATTCCCATTTACATCCCCAACAGCATGCTTGCATTAATATTACGTAAAAGTGATGTTAATTTCCCCCTAATCTTCCAAGCGTTTTTAGCGTGTCAATTCGCACTTTTGAGGGGAAATGATACCCTATATTTCTCCCATTCTTACACTCAGAGAAATCGGTAATTCGAGATGATATACTTCTCTCAATTATCACATTTCGACTCATTGTTCTCAAGAGAAAAATACATCAACTGGATTTTCGGTTTAAATCTCTCTCTTCCCGACTGTGCCGGCTCGCCTGAAAGGCGTTTGCAAAACCGAAATGTGTCTGTAGCCGAGTCGAGACTGGTTTGACTGGTTGCGCATCGCCCAGACCCACGTCAACCTCCGTCTTCCACTTATTCATGCCGAGGAAGACCCCTCCTGCCCTCCCTCCCATGAACCCTCGGGGCAATGCAATTAACAGCCGAGGGATTCACAGGCAACCGCCTGAGTGCATGGCCTCTTCGCCCTATCACCTCCCTTCCGACCAGTGCGAGTAGCTCGTGCTTCTCGAAGGGATTCCCACCACGTAACAGCTTATTTCATTCTTCGAATCCAGTTTCATACGGTGTTTGTATTCCGTTTGGTGCGTTGGTGGTGCACCACGTATCGCAAGGATAGTAAGATCCGACTATTAACTATAGACACTAAGCAGTCCTTAAAGAATATATGGATCCCTATGGGAGAAAAAGGGTTCCTTCGCCCTTCCTTATCCTTCCTTATACAGGGGCATGATGACGTTGGGTTCACAACCGTTGACACGCGAGAGCAACTTCAGACATTTCAATTTACGAATTGCCTTTTGACGTAGCATCTGAACGTGGGGGGGACCAACGGAGGAGTTTGTGGAAAGTCATACCTAGAAATTTGCAGGGGGAAGCAGCGGGGATGAAGTCGCCATTCATCCAAAGCCTAAAGTTGTAGGGGTCTCGGGATAGGCTTCTAGGCACGTAAAGGTATGAGGATTTGGAAGGATTCATGGAAATCCACCAATCCTTACAGTAGGACGAAAGATCGTCGAGGACAAGTTAGGCTTCCTTTTCTAGCTTGACTTCATTTCTTCTCGTGAGCCATATGACTGTATCATCTACATATTGTCTAATATATGCATATGATGGTATGTGTCGAGGTAAATCATTGACATACGCAAGAAAAAGCAGCGGTGCCAAGACTGATCCTTGTCGCAAGAGTTGATGGTGGAGCTTATAGAGCAGGCCCTGATGCCAAACCTTGTCGAACGCCTTGGTGACGTCGAAAAAGAGGGCAGGGAAATGCATTCCTTTGTGTGTGGTTTGTAGCGCTCTGTGTGTCAGCCGTATTAGCTGTTCTACGGTTGACCTTCCTCGACGAAAGCCAGCTTGAGCTGGTTTCAGAGGCGTTTGTCTTCTAAGTAGGACGCTATCCTTGTCGTTAAGATCTTCTCCAGGAGATTACCTACTGTATACAGCTCAAAAGGCTGATAGGTCGAAATGAAGATGGGTCTGAGGGATCTTTTCCTAATTTCGGAATCATTGTTACGATTAGCGATTTCCAGGAAGGTGGCACACGGGAGTGATCTCGACTGGCATTGTATAGATCGCATAATCGGTCAATTAATTTGGCCGAGCCGTGCTTCAGGGACGATTAAAAAAAAACTTTATCGATCCCTGGGGCTTTGTTAGCTATGAGTCGAAGAGTGTTCCAGATCTCTTTAGCGCCTATAGGACGCCAGATGTTGTCGGTGTCTGGATGGGAGAGGACGTTGTCGGGAGAGAAGGCAATGATCTCATCCTGAAGATAGACCTTGGCAGAGAATTGACTGTGAAGGCGGAAAGGTGTAGTCATAGCAGAAGCTAGTGATTCGCCAAAGACTTCCGCTTTGCCCTCATCAGTGATGACGACTCTTGTCCGATCTTCAGTGGTTTGGTGGTAGCTGATGAGGGTTTGCCGACACGTTGGAGGAGTTTCCGAAAGTCTTTTTGATAGGTCTCCTGATTTAGATTGGAGCAATATGTATCCCGGTAAGATTCCTGATCAAGGGCAAGTAACTCCTTCATTCCCTTGTTAAGGCCGTTGATGATGGGCCTGAGTTCGGGGTAACCGCGACGGTGGTAGATTCGACGAAGACGTCGGCGTTCACGGATCTTTTTCATTGTAGCAGTAGAATTGGAGTAAGGAAGTGCAAGGCGACGAACGACCTTGGGGACGGCGAGGTCTTGTGCGATAAAAATCGCTTCTGCTACGATGGTTGCAGAGTCGTCTAGGAGTGAGGGAGTTCCTAGGGCCAGCGTGTCTGGTAGGAACAAATCTAGGATTGCGTGAAATTCCACCCAGTTCGCATTTTTAAAGTCGTATACCTCCCTCACAAAGTTGGAGCGAGAGATCTGTCCCCAGACTAAAGGAGGGTGTGGACAAGCCTAGAACGGAATGAAGCGAGAGCATGGCTTGGGAGAGCTCAAGTCTATGAAGGAAAAGCGAAAAAAGGGGGGCTTAAAACAAGCCTATCAAAAGAAAAGTGTAGCCTGGGAAAGGCCCTACCATGCATTCAGCTGTGTCCTGCACTGACAGATTGGAACGATGCCCAGATTGCTCCTGCTACCTTCAAGCCCTGACCTCGAGGCACATTAGGCCATAACACCCGACCCAACCCCTTAAAAAATATGGAACGCTTCACGATTTTGCGTGTCATTCTTCGCTGTCCCTTCTCTTTTTAACTTCCTTTAGCCTTACCCCATACCTGCAGGCTATCTCTAATAATTCGGGCTCTCATCTCTAAGTCCTGCGCTTCTGGGTCCAAAGGTTGGACATTTTCTGTTGCCCTTGGGTAGTTTCGGACAATTTCGGCACCACATAACTTCTCTTACTCTATATATATATATATATATATATATATATATATATATATTTGGTTTTGTTGTAGTTAGTAAAGGCTGACGTTGGAGAAGCGAAGAAAAAAAAGCAACCTGGGTGGAGGTCTCTGAGAGTCCCATCGGAGTTGAATGGGAATTTCGGCGATTTTTTCATGCCGAGTCTCATGCGAAATGAATTGATTTAGGCAAAAGAGATTATGAGATACTTTCATAATGATGAAATGTCTCCGTTGTTAAAGATAATTCCAAATGGCATACTATCGTTCAGTAAATGCTAATTCTTTTTGCGTCAGCTGTTAAATAGATATGATTTTTTGAAATGCCATAGTGACTTACGAGACTCCCTGTTTATTGCTTTCCGTTTTACACGAAGAATCATCCGTAATGGGCGATATGCACCTCACTTAGTCAAGTCCAGAGCATTATTTTCAAGATATAGTTCTCAATTTCTGGGATTCCATTGAGAATTTCAATAAAATCAAGTTTATCAATCGCCTTGATCAATTTCCTCCAATACTCTTGAATCGCAGATGATCAGCACTTCGATAACGTGTGCTATTTCACGCTTTTCCTACAGGTGGGGTTTAGTGGGATGGAATGTGGAGTATTTTTCTGCGTATATCTTGCAATATCCAGGAATTTATTTTTGGTACATACATCCTTCAGGCCTACATACTACATTCTCAGCCTGTGCTCTTTCTTGGTGCCGTCAATATTTTTCTTTAAAAAAACTGCCAAGGTGTCCGAAAGTTGAGTCATATGTAGAGAAGAGCATGGGCATGCTATTCATTATAAATGACAATTTAAACCGCCGTTGACATTAACTCATAGTGTTTTTAATAGCTTGCAAAGACACTAGAGGAAGTTTATTTTATGTTTGATGAACATTACTGGATCACATTAAAAGAGAATCTAGAGGTTCACTCACTATGATGAGGCACATAGGTGCCTGGAAAACGCTGATAATGCATCTTAAACTCCTGACCGAGTCGAAACTGCTGCACGTGCTAAATTAGGACGATAGACGGGGAAGGAAACAGTTAAAAGTTATGGAGTAATTCTATGTGCGTAGCAGTCTACATAGACCTAGTTTCTCAAGAGGACCGGTCCCCAGTTCATTCTGATCGTGATCAATCAAAAGAATCAGTTCGGTTAACAAATGAATAAAAACTTGGATAGTTGGTTTTGAATCTGTCAGATCCTCCTATTTGAAGAAGGTCCCTTTGTTATTGCTTCCGATGACGCCAGTGAAGCTGAAGGAGTAATGTTGTTCACTTACATCGGGGATATTGGCAGAGTCCGAGCCAATCTGGAGCTTGTCTAACTGGCTTACCAGTTGCATCAAATATCAGTTTTTAATGGGGAGTCAATCATGCAAAGGGACTGCGGCGGCGTTAAAACAAGAGATCTTTCAGCGCAGAGTTTAAAAATCTTGTCCTCATACGTTTTATATTTCAGAGCTTCATCGTAGATATGATAGCTCCAGGTCTAGCACGTACGAGGAGAATGGAGCGGAATTTTCCATCTCATATGGGAGTGGAAGCATGATGGGTTTCTTGTCCACCGACACTGTGACAGTAAGATCCTTCCGTTTCATCAGTTGCTCCGCTAGTTGTCTTTGTGTTATTCCTTGGCGTGTCGTGTTCTACCCTTCAGATTGGCGACATAGCAGTGAAAGGTCAAACATTTGCAGAAGCCACGATCCAACCTGGTTCGACTTTCGTAGATGCCAAGTTTGATGGTATTCTTGGTATGGGATACCAGACTTTATCTGTGGACAATGCCACAACAGTGTTGGAGAACATGGTTCTGCAACAACTCATTCAGTATCCTATATTTTCTTTCTACCTCAATCGGTACGTCTCTATTTTAAATGAAAGATTAGTCGCAAGCCGGATGAGAAACTGTTACCTGTCTTTGCTACTTAAAATATATTAATTCGTATTTATTATATTGGTACAGTGACCCTTCGGCCACCGAAGGTGGAGAACTCATTATAGGAGGCTCAGATCCCAACTACTACAAAGGATCCTTAACTTACGTCCCTGTCACAAGTCAGGGTTATTGGCAGTTCAAGATGGACAAGTAAGCTTTTCATGCCTAAAGTTTTTGTTTTCATCCATGAATGCCAATGCCTCGTTTGTTCTGAACAGAGTGAGATTGGGCCATCAAGCTGTATACTGCTTTAATGGATGCCAGGCGATTGCCGATACTGGCACATCTCTCATCACTGGTCCCAGTCGGGTGATCAATGCCCTCAACAGGAGAATCGGCGGACACCCAATCGGTGGAGGAGAATACATGGTAAGGATTTGGAAGATTTAACTCACCGTCTCCTGCTTTCCTAACGACCAGGGACATACAATGTATGAAAAAATTTAACCCTGCAGGTATTGGTTTTTCTTGGATTATATTACCTTGAAACAATATTCATGATTTTTTTTCTACAGTTAAAGTAAGAGATTAAGCTTTCCATTGCTGAAGATTGCACGAAGATCTCTCAGATCTCAGAAGCGAGAATGAAAGGACAAAGTTTATATTCGCAAAATGCAGACATGATAGTGAACAACTGAAAACAGCCTATATAAGAGAAACCAGTAATGGAAGCCTTGGAAGAAGTTAGTGATCCATAAATGCCCTACCGGGAGACTCTTCTCTCAAATGCTGGTTCTTAAGCATTAATGAGAAAAAATACCCGTGTTCAGATGAAATGATATTCTCAGAGACCCATCTCTCTCAATCTCTAAAACCAGTGAGAAATCAGTGAGAATCAGTGAGAAAATCAATGTCCTAGAGTGATAAAAAAAAATATTTTTTACTTGAATCTAATTTTCACTGTTTCATATCTCTCTTAAAAAATAATACATTTCCATCTGGTTTTCATCAGAAATAGCCAAAATGCTTCCTTTCTGACTGACGAATAAATTGTTATTCAACCTCAATATAATACATGACAAATCCATTCTTGTAACAGTAACTTTATTTTTAGACACCCTGTAGAAAGGATGCAACTGAATTTCCTTCTTCCCTTAATAGATACGCTGTTCTTTGATTCATCGCCTTCCTCCCATCCACTTCATTCTTGCTGGAAAGAGCTTCACATTGAGGGGAAGAGACTACGTGTTGCGAGTATGTCACACCTCCCTGCCTTTAACCTATTGAATCTTGGGTCGTGTAAGGGAAACTCGGACATTATTTTGCCGTGATACAACAGGATCAGATAAAGCATGCTATTTTGCCTATTTATTGGAGTACCTGCCTATTTCATAGATGCAATTGCTTCATTATTTCATGAGCACACAGATAACTGTAATATGTACTTTTTTTGCAAACCTTGAACGTCCTTGAAGTTTGTGTGCATAGGACACAAACTGGAATTTAATCTCTGCTGCGGCGTTGTATTCTATTTGAAGGATTTGAACTTTCCATCATGGCTTGTGGCTCAGTTGAACAAGTTACTGAAGTCGTTCCCCACACTATCAAACCGGTTATTCGGCTCTGGTCATATATTTTGCTTTCCCATGTCTGGTGCATGAATATGCCCATAGGCGCCATTGGAATGACATATTCAGAAATTTCAAGTAATCAGGGAATTTTTTTTTCGCACTCCTAATTTTTATCTAAAACTGTTTTCCGATATCCTGTATCTTTTGTGACGAACCGCCGCGATTCACTCAATCACACGAGAGACGTTCGGTCCAGTTGCCGCGAAGGTGGCGCACCTGGATACTGAGCACCGCCGGCGTGCTGTCTCCCTCTCATGAAATCGCGGTACTAATAATTTACATTTCACCATCATGGGGTAATGTCACCATCCTTATCCGTAATTCTACCCTGAATTTCAGCCCGGGATTTATGTCTTCTACTTGGCATGAAGCCAGATAACGCGCTGTCTCTCTGTCACATTGATGCAAGTCCGTAGCATCTTGAATTTAACACGTGAAGTTGATTATGAAACGTTGGCGCCATAAAGAACGTCTGTATCATAGTCAACACTATTTCTGTTAAAAAATTAATAAATCCACATGCACTACAGCCATGTGTATGACGGACAGTCCAGGTTTCCCTTGAACCACCCACATACATTAAGTAATAGACTCCTGATCACGACTGCGAGTGTATCCTTCTATAATGTTATTTGTAGGTGTCAGAACGTGGCCAAACCTTCTGCCTCTTGGGTTTCACCGGGTTGGATATCCCCCCACCGGCTGGTCCACTCTGGATCCTCGGTGACGTTTTCATTGGAAGGTTTTACACGGAATTCGACATGAAAAATAACCGTGTCGGTTTTGCTGAGGCTGTATAGAATAGATCTGTTCGCACCAAAATTCTCGTGCATCGCTTTTTCATCTCTGCTTCATGATCTTTGCATTAAGAATGAACTATTTTCATTTACATATGTATATATATATATATTTTTCATACTTTCACCGAGTCCCAATGCCAGTTACTCGTATCAAACTCAAAAGATGGATTGATTGTATGACTTCATCATCGGCTTGGAACGTAGCTTTTGTGGCTCTCTTCAATACCGCGAAGTCCGTCTTGGAAGGTTTCATAAACTATGCAGTAACAAAACGACTTTAAAATTGAACTGCAAGACTTTAATGTGAAGGATTTGACACGATATCGAGCATCATCTACGAATGCTATTTTGAATATACTTAGAATCCAATTTGCAATAAAGCTTTCATTTGCATTGAAACAGTCATGACTCTCTACCCTCATTAACCCGGAGGGCAGTGAAGTATCATCGTCCATTCCTTTCTGAAAACTTGCAATGGCAAATTTTTGAACAGTGATTAAGTTCACATGAAAATTTATTTTCCTCGCAAACTAATACTTGAATTCCTGTATATATTAGAGATTTATCCCCGTACTGGAGTATTTTTGCAGGTTTTTTGAGGCTCCTGTGAGCAGTTACGGCAGTAAAAGTAATCATAACTAGTCAAATCCAGAACCTGAGCTTGGCAGGTGAAGAACAACCCTAATTTCATTCCATTTGTAGGCTTTTTTTGTGTCGTTGCTGAGAAGTGGCGAAAATGATGATGAAAATGAGATGGCTGAGGCGAGTCCGGCATATGTCATAGGCAAAATATTAACGCAGAAAAAGTCCTTCTGATACAGGTCAGAATGAAGTGTCTCAACGAAATATCGACATGGAATTGATCATACAGAACAAAAGGAACCACAACGGTAGAAATAGACCGGTAAATAACTGCTATGGCGAGAGACTAGATATACTGAATGCCGACACGGCATTCAAACTGGAACCGTGTTGAACAAGAAATAACAATTGACTTTTTCTCATATTGAGGTGCATCAATATCAGAATTCTTCCTGTCGGTAATATCCAAAAGTTGCTATTATTTCCATACAATGTTGTTTCTACGCTTTCTCTCGATGGCTCTCCCATTCTCAAGAACAGATCCGACAGTCGCGAAGGCCAGAGAGAACGTGTGAGCTCGAGCGCCTTAGACGGCACCCTAACCCGCGAAAGCCTTCCACAAAAGGTTTCTCGGGATTCACGAGTTTAGTCGACGGCCCTAAAACTCAGCGGGCCTCTCAACGATATAAGCAGCGGCCGCTCTATCCCGCCCTCGAGAATGACCTGTGGAAGACTTCCACGAACTTCGGGTCGGTCGAGGCCAAGGGTGTCTAACATCCGGCCAGCTAGTTGATTTCGCCTGGACCGCAAAGTCCTCTTCAACAGTTGGTTTAGGAGAAGAGTAGACGTTTTCAACTTGTTATCAATTGAAACTTTAGTTTAAGATTTGCTCATTTGGACCCAACCACTCTTGAAGGGTTCCATCCTTCCCCCAGCTTAATCATGTTTGACATCTTTGGCCTTGGATAACTGTGTAACATTGTTGGGAATATACGAATTCAGTCAGCGGCCCTTGAACACTACGCGGCAGCCGCTCTCTTTTTCTCGAGGACGGATCCGACAGTCGCGAAGGCTCGAAAGAAATTGCGAGCTTGAGAGCGAGACGGACCCGTGGAAGACATCCGCGAACTCCGTGTCGGCCGAGGCTAAGCGTGGAGCATTTTCGGGTACTCGCAAATTCAGTCAGGGGCCCTATTAACGTCCTACGCAGCAGCCGCTCGGACATTGTACGTCTCGCGCATCCCCCCCACTTCCCCCTTTCCCACGGGGGTGTTCATGCCTACAAGACGGACTTTAATCAAGCAAACTCTTATCCCGTATTAACCAAACTCTTATCCCGTATCGATCGCGACCCGTCAAGTTCATCTCCACCACCTTTCATGTAGGCGTATGAGTGAAAAACACGCTTAAGAAACGGGATAGTTACTAAGCGGTGACTTTCCGATCCAAGGGTAAGCCCTGCTGTTTCTATCCCATAAAGATGGAATCCCGTCGCTTTCATCCTAGGCAGTCACTCTCCTTGTGAGAGTGCCGATCAATACGAAGACGGGGTTCCGATCGATGAAGGGGCCGAATTCTTATCCCGGCAAGGAAGTCATCCTTACTCCAGCGGGATGAAGGGGTGAAAAGGGACTCCGAGTGTTATAAGCGGAGAAGTTTTACACGTCCCCGCGGGAATGTCCGCCTCGTAGAGTGAACACCACCTAAGCGGTGCGGAGGGGGGATGCACAAGACGTATAATTCCTTACTGTCCCTTTCTCGAGAAAAGATCTGACAGCCGCAATGGCCGGAGGGAAAGTGCTCGCTCGGGAGAGCGAGGCAGACACCCGGAGCCGGGCAGAAGAAGGCGCCGCGCATGCGAACATGGCATTGCGGACATACAGTCGCCCAAGCATAATACAGTATATACAGGGTGGGCCAACAATAAAACAAAGCCATCATTTTTGGTAAGTTGTCAGTCTGCATGCAGCCGATTTTGATTACATTTGGTATACACGTAGGGAAACTAAATTAGGGTTTGTGTGCCAAGTTTCAAATAAAAATTCCAAAAACTAAGATTGCCATAGAATTTACTTTTCATCACCAAAAAAGTAAGTGTTCAGTTTTTCTTTCAGCTTAAAAATTCTCACAACTAACAAAAACAAACAAGCAAACAAACAGAACAAAAGCAGAAGAACTTATGCCTAACACGAAAGCAGATAATTTGGTTTAGGGACGTGCTAATTTCAACTGAAAAAGTGCTCAATTTGCCCTCCATTATATTGAACGGGAGCCCATAGCCTGGGATACCACAGATCAAGGGCTCGGTCAATAAACCGTCGAGGCAGTATCTCCCAATCTTCCTTTGTAGCATCATGCAGGGATAGAAGGTCAATGAATTGGACCTACCTTTCATCCCATCCTGACTGACTGACTGATACTTGGTACACATGTACCTTTTTTGGGGTGCAGAGTTCAGAAAAAATCCGACTTTGGAGGTCCATGCCCTGGGGATACAAATTTTGGGGGAATAAGTTTTTTAAAATATATATCGTGATGGATAAGGATGTCATCGAAAGCCACCTCTGTGTCTCTCCATTTCGGTGGTGTAGTGGTAGAACATCGGACCCGTAATCCTGAGACCAGGGTTCAAATCCCGGCCATTACTTCCCTTTTTTTGGCATTTGGCATCTCTTGCCTTCCATGTCCCGTTGGACATGGAAAGCGTAAACGTGGCATGGACGTGCATGCCGACACGATGAGATAAGGAAAAATACAAAATTTGTTATCCATCCCTTGTGGGCATGGATACAACAAAACGGAGGGTGCAGGAAAGTTTAAACTTGGTAAAGAAGATGAATAGCTGAGTAAAGAAACAATTCTACTTTCATCTAATCTAATATATGTAGACGGTACGTCCAACCGCTACCGAGGACGATCCACAGACGAGATGCAAACCAACGCAAGCCACGCAACAACCCCCAAAACCAAAGGAAATGGAAAAAAAGGAAAGGGAAGAACGGAAGTGNGGCTGAGTAGAGGAGAAATCCTAATTTTGAAATATGTATCATTAGCGTTGATTATTGGAGGGAAGTTTTTCAAAATGTATTATCCACCCTTACAAAAAGGGACACAAGAAAAGATTTCAAGTTAGGCACACAGAATCATAGAGGTAATGATTTTGATGAAAAAAATCAAGACATTCGACCCCATATGTCACGTATGTCAATGGACACGTACTTTAAATACGTGTTTCCCATTTCGCAAAAAATGAATGAATTAATCACTATCCAAGGTAAGGGAGCGCCGAAGGCGCGACCATAGTATAAAATAATTACAACTCCTATAATTTTAAAGACAGATGGCTGAAATTTAGTTTACTAACTCCAACTGTGTTAACTTATAATTCAAGCAATTTTAATAAAAATCGGCAACCTACGATGAGATTGACGACTCGCCAAAAGTGATTGCTAGACAGATAGATAATTATTCCACGGTGACTACAAAATAAAGCACATTATACGCTGATCCAAAATGGCAGACGCGATGAAAAGTAGATGGCATAAAAATATTAAAAAATAATTGTATATAGATTGCTTTTTATTTGCATCAAACTAAAGATGCACCATTTCCAATTCATAGCTCAAGAAATTCCTCCAAGTATTTAGCTAAAGCAGGGAATTCGGAAATCACACTTTTCCAGTAATTCACGCTGTCAATGGCAAGAGAAAACCACGGTTCTGTTTTATTGGTAATCATGAGGGGATTTTTCTCATCCATCGCGACTTCGACGATTTTCTTGCTCGGAATGTAGAAAAACATTATGGCTCTCCAAGTAGCGAAGTAAATAGCCCTTGCAAAAGTGTCAAAAAACGGAGGGCCGATGTAACCGGCCACGACGCGCGAGTAGTTGAATCTGGTCAGGAAAAGCGATTCCCCTCCGATGAAGCGATCGCTGAGCATGTCCGCGGTCGAGCGTAAGTCGAGGAGACTCATGATGGTGGGCACGATATCCAGATTCGATACGGGCTTGTCGGTGTTGGCGACGAAGTTGGCGATCTCTTCCTCGGACTTGGGCAGGAATTCCTTCGGGATGTAGATTGACAGCGGTACCGCGACGACGGGAGGCGTCGGATGGTGGATTCTGTCGAACACCGTGTTAGGAGTTTCGCCGTGGTCAGAGGAGAAGATGAGGATCGTGTCGTTCAGAACGCCTTTCTCTTCCAATCCCTTCATGAGATCCCTCAGCAACCGATCGGTGATGGTCAAGGAATTCATGTATCGTGAGAGGTCGATCTCTTTTTTGGAGGCGGAATAAGGTTTTACGTATGTCTTCTCGTCGACGAGAAACGGATGATGCATGTTGTTAAAGACGATCAGCGAGAAGAACGGTTTCGTCCAGAACGATTTGTCTCGTGGATGGAGAAAGATCTGCAGCAATTCTCGGTCATCCAT